TCGATTGAAGGTGACATCTCATAAAATTATCACGAAAAAGTGACAAATTTTAATGATAAAATTTACAAATTTAACAATTAAGAAGTGAACGATTTTAGATTATAATTTATATACAATTACCTATAAAAATATTCAAATTTAATGTAAAATTATCAATTCAAAAAGTGTACAATTATCTAGAAAAAGTTGTCGATTATATTGTAAAATATAATAAATTAACAACTAGGAATTGACTGATTTAAGGTTACCTCTAATAAATAAGTGAACGATTTAAGGTTAAATCTAATAACATTGTCTTAGAAAAGTGACCGATTTAAGGTGACATCTAATACAATTATCAATAAAAAGAAGTCGAAATGTTTGTAAAATGATTGATGAAGAAGTGGCCGATTTCAGAATACATGTAATACAACTATTAGGAATAATTTAATGATTTAACGTTATATCTAATACAATTATCTATAAACAGTTGTCCAATTTATTATAAGATATAGTCAAATAATCAATAAAGAAAGTGGTCGATTTAAGGTGTCATCTCATAAAATTATCACGAAAAAGTGACCAATTTTAATGACAAAATATAACAAATTTAACAATTAAGAAGTGAACGATTTTAGATTATATTTTATATACAATTACCTATAAAAATATTCAAATTTAATGTAAAATTATCAATTCAAAAAGTGTACAATTATCTAGAAAAAGTTGTCGATTATATTGTAAAATATAATAAATTAACAACTAGGAATTGACTGATTTAAGGTTACATCTAATAAATTTTACTAGAAAAAAAGACCGATTTAAGGTCTTGTCTAGTATAATTACCTTTCAAAGATGACTGATTAAAGGTTACATTTTATATACAATTATCCATTAAAAAAATGTTCAAATTTAATGTAAAATATTCAAATGAAAAAATGGCAGAGTTAAGGTTACATCTAATAACATTGTCTTAGAAAAGTGACCGATTTAAGGTCACATCTAATACAATTATCTATAAAAAAGAAGTCGAAATGTTTGTAAAATGATTGATGAAGAAGTGGCCGATTTCAGGATGCACGTAATACAACTATTAGGAATAATTTAATGATTTAACGTTACATCTAATTCAATTATCTATAAAAAGTTGTCCAATTTATTATAAGATATAGTAAAATAATCAATAAAGTGGTCGATTTAATGTGACATCTCATAAAATTATCACGAAAAAGTGACCAATTTAATGACAAAATATAACAAATTTAACAATTAAGAAAAAAAACGATTTTAGTAAAATTTAATGTAAAATTATCAATTCAAAAAGTGACAGAGTTAAGGTTACCTCTAATAAAAATTATCTACAAAAAGTGAACGATTTAAGGTTACATCTAATACAATTATCTATGAAAAGTTGTCAATTTTTTTGTTAAATATAATGAAATTAACAATTAAGAATTGACTGATTAAAAGTTACATCTTATACATTTATCTAGAAAAATGACCGATATCAGGTCACATCTAAATTGTAGAATATAGTAAAATTATCAATAAAGAAAGCTGCCAAACTTGAGGTGACATGTAATACAATTATCTAGAAAAAGTTGTCGATTATATTGTAAAATATGATAAATTAACAACTAGGAATTGACTGATTTAAGGTTACATCTAATAAATTTTACTAGAAAAAATGACCGATTTAAGGTCTCGTCTAGTATAATTATCTTTCAAAGATGACTGATTATAGGTTACATTTTATATACAATTAGCTATTAAAAAAATGTTCAAATTTAATGTAAAATATTCAAATAAAAAAAATGGCAGAGTTAAGGTTACATCTAATAACATTGTCTTTGAAAAGTGACCGATTTAAGGTCACATCTAATACAAATATCTGTAAAAAGAAGTCGAAATGATTGTTAAATGATTTATGTAGAAAGTGGCCGATTTCAGGATACATGTAATACAACTATTAGGAATAATTTAATGATTAAACGTTACATCTAATACAATTATCTATAAAAAGTTGTCCAATTTATTATAAGATATAGTCAAATAATCAATAAAGAAAGTTGTCGATTTAAGGTGACATCTCATAAAATTATCACGAAAAAGTGACAAATTTTAATGGTAAAATATAACAAATTTAACAATTAAGAAGTGAACGATTTTAAATTATATTTTATATACAATTACCTGTAAAAATTTTCAAATTTAATGTAAAATTATCAATTCAAAAAGTGACAGAGTTAATGTTACCTCTAATAAAAAATATCTAGAAAAAATGAACGATTAAAGGTTACATCTAATACAATTATCTTTTACATGTGGTCGAATTTATTGAAAAATATAATAAATTTAACAATGAACAAGTGATCGATTTAACGTTACATTCTATATTCAATTACCTATAAAAAATGTTAAAATTTAATGTAATATTATTAATTCAAAAAGTGGCAGAGTGAAGGTCACATCTTATGAAATTATATAGAAAAAGTGACCGATTTAAGGTCATATCTAATACAATTATCTAGAAAAAAGTGACCGATTTAAGGTCACATCTAAATTGTATAATATAGTAAAATTATCAATAAAGAAAAATGCCAAATTTGAGGTGACATGTTATAAAATTATCTACAAATATGATCGATTTAAGTTACATCTAATACAATTATCTAGAAAAAGTGACCGATTTAAGTTTACAACTTATACAATTATCTATAAAAAAAATGTTAAAATTTAATGTAAAATAATCAAATCAAAAAGTGGCAGAGTTAAGGTTACAACTAATAAAATTATTTAGAAAAAGTGAACGATTTATGGTTACATCTGATTCAATTATCTTTTACATGTAGTCGAATTTCTTGAAAAATATAATAAAATTAATAATCAAGAAGTGAACGATTTAAGGTTTCATTTTATATACAATTACCTATAAAAAATGTTCAAATTTAAAGTAATATTATTAATTCAAAAAGTGGCAGAGTGAAGGTCACATCTAATAAAACTATCTAGAAAAAGTGACCGATTGAACGTCACATCTAATACAATTATCTAGAAAAAGGTGACCGATTTAAGGTCACATCTTAATTGTATAATATAGTAAAACTTTCAATGAAGAAAGTTGCCGATTTAAGGTGATGATATGTAATAAAATTATCTACAAATGTGACCAATTTAAGGTTACATCTAATACAATTATCTAGAAAAAGTGACAGATGTAAGGTCGCATCTTGTGCAATAATCTAGAACAAGCGACTGATTATAGGTCTCATCTAAATTGTACGATATAGTAAAATATCAATAACGAAAGTTGCCAAATTTGAGGTAACATGTAATAAAATTATCTACAAATGTGACCGATTTAAGGTTACATCTAATACAATTATCTTGAAAAAGTTGATGATTATATTGTAAAATATAATAAATTAACTACTAGCAATTGACTGATTTAATGTTACATCTAATAAATTTTACTAGAAATATGAACGATTTAAGGTCTCATCTAGTATAATTATCCTTCAAAGGTGACTGATTAAAGGTTACATCTTATACAATTATCTATGAAAAGTAGTCGAATCGATTGTAAAATGACTAATGAATAAAGTGGCCGATTTCAGGATATATGTAATACAATTATTAAGAATAAGTGACTGATTTAACGTTACACTTAATACAATTATCGAAATAGAGTTGTCGAATTTATTCTAAAATATAGTCAACTTATCATTAAAGAAAGTGGTCGATTTAAGTTGACATCTAATAAAATTATTAAGAAAAAGTGAACGATGTAAGGTTACATTTTATATACAATTATCTATTTAAAAAAATGTTCAAATTTAATGTAAAATAATCAAATCAAAAAGTGGCACAGTTAAGGTTACATCTAATAAAATTGTCTTAGAAAAATGACCGATTTAAGGTCACATCTAATACAATTATCAATAAAAAGAAGTCGAAATGTTTGTAAAATGATTGATGAAGAAGTGGCCGATTTCAGAATACATGTAATACAACTATTAGGAATAATTTAATGATTAAACGTTACATCTAATACAATTATCTATAAAAAGTTGTCCAATTTATAATAAGATATAGTCAAATAATCAATAAAGAAAGTTGTCGATTTAAGGTGACATCTCATAAAATTATCACGAAAAAGTGACCAATTTTAATGGTAAAATATAACAAATTTAACAATTAAGAAGTGAACGATTTAAGGTTACATTTTATATACAATTACCCATTAAAAATGTTCAAATATAATGTAATATTATTATTTCAAAAAGTGGCAGTGTTAAAGTTATCTCTAATGAAATTATCTAGAAAAAGTGAACGATTTAAGGTTACATCTAATACAATTATCTTCTACATATTGTCGAATTTTTTGGAAAAAAAAAAATAAATTAAAAAATTAAGAAGTGAACAATTTAAGATTATATTTCATATACAATTACCTATAAAAAACATTCAATTTAATGTAAAATTATGAATTCAAAGAGTGACAGAGTTAAGGTTACCTCTAATAAAATTATCTAAAAAAGTGAACGATTTAAGGTGGTAGACCTGGGGTAAGGGAAATAACTCGTACACATCTACTTGAAGTCATTGATGCGTTTTATTAAGGCACTCAATTTCAAGCATCTGTGTACACAGATCGTTTACCTTGGATACTGACAGTGACAGACGATAACCACAATGAGAGGTTTATTTGAATCCAAAAAGAAGTCTAAGCGTTCTAACTTTTTTAAAACTTTGAACAAATCGTTCAAACAAATTAGTATTGAAGAAACAAATGATCACACATATGTGCAACATAATTACATGGATATCGGGGCGGAGGAAGAAGTGGCCGGGAATGAAGGAATGATTGACAGCAATTGGAAGGTGGGGAGACGTATAGTAGAATTAGGCGTACTGGCAGATAAAATGTATTGTTGCAGGTGCAATGTTCCGTTGCACCTGCATGATACCCTCCATGAACGGACGGCCGGATTCGGCAGTTATCTTCTAATTTTATGCACCAACACAGAATGCAGAACGGTAACAGACGTGCCAACGGGAAAAGTGGGTCCAACTGGATCATTCGACATCACTGCTAAGATAGTCATAGGTAAATACTTTAATAAATATCAATTGCATTTACGTATTTTATCAAAATTTACTTTTTTTAATTTTATGTAAAATGTAAACAATGTTCGTGTTAAGCATATCCACCTATTTCTTTTGAAAAGTTTTACCTTTTTTTTTTCCTATTGCCAATATTGGGTACACTTCCTATTTCACCCAACAAAAGAAGACAATTACATACATGTATATTCAGAAATGTATTTGTAGATATAATATTTTAGAGTTGATGAGATTGACTATTATTTTTAAATTCATCTATTGGATATAATTGTGTGTAGAGTTACTTTCCCTGTGTTTTCCCCTTTTGAAATTGTCTTCCAAATTTTGTTTTGTTTCAAAAAAGACATTTACAACTACTGAACTGAAAGGACAGATATTTTCAAGTATCAAAAATATAAAATGGATATTCAAAGTTTATACAAAGAACATTAATTGCAATAAATGTTAAAAATCTACAGTTCTACAAAATGTTTATTGACAAATGATAACATAATATGATTCATGTACAATGACAAACTATATACACAGTTTTCTAATCTAATACCAATGTGGTAAAGATAAAAGATATCTTAATACAGAATCAGATAACCTAAAAATTCCACTATGGTAGGATAGAAATTAAAAAATGAAAAGGGTAGACTATGGTAGGCAAATATATATATTCTCCACATGGTGATTATTGTCCTTACATGTATGTCTCTATATAGCTAGACATACCTTAAGTAGTGAGTAAAATGAAAGAAGATTAAAGAGAGTACAAGGAATTTAGGTCAGTTTACAAATTTACCAAAACATATTTGCCAGTTTCAACATATTTTAAAATATATTACTGCACCTTTTCTTTTATCACTCTATAAAACAAATGGTTTTATTTGGTTGTGAAAACTTAGTACATGTAGTGGCGGATCCAGAAATTTTCATAAGTGGGGACCAACTGACTGCCTAAGAGGTGGCCTGCTGCAGTCATGCTTCAGTGATTCCCTATATTATCAACCAATTTTTTTCACACAAAAAGGGGGCCCAGCCCCCCCCCCCCCCCCCCCCCCCCCTTCCCAAATCTGCCCCTGACATGTATGACACAGCTGTTACCACTGAAATAAAACTAAGTCATTTCCAATTGTTTGAGCATCAAAAGCTGAATGTGAAATTTTTAAACACATTTTCAACATAACATAACATTGTACAAATATTGGTATTTATTCTGAGATTAATATAAAGGTTCTCCTTAAATATCAAATTAATTGGTATTATCAATGAAATGATATTGTATATAAAGTGTTATGAGAATAATCATAAAAATAAGAAGATGTGGTTGACGTGGTATGAATGCTTATAAAACAACTCTCCATCAGAGACCAAATGATGTAGAAATTAACAACTAAAGGTCAACAAACAGCCTTCAACAATGAGCAAAACCCATAAGGCATAATCATGCAGCTCTAAAATGTCCAGAAATTACAAATGTATATCAATTCAAACGGGAAAACTAACCTGATGTATGTACGAAACAAAGAGTTATATGTAATCAGGTAGTATTAATTTAAAATATAATTGCTACTGTTTTTGTGATGACATTTTTCATGTGAATAATCTAAAACCATCAAAAAACATGATGGGTTCAACTGAAATAGTCTCACTCCAATATAACAGCAAAATAAGTAACTAGTTCTACTGAGAGGAAAAGTTTGTGGAAAAAATACATTTCAATTATATAGATTGAAGTTGAACTATAGTTGGTTTCTACAAAATGTAATTTTTGTTTCATAAAATGCTTTCTTATATGTAGGAATGATACATGCTGGCTTAGGATATGCACAAATAAGAAACTTTCTGACAGAATGTAACTTGCCAGTCATGAGTAAGTCTTGTTTCCAAAAACATGAGAAAAAAATTGGAAAAATCTTTGTATCTGCTGCTGAAGAATCCTGCAAGAAAGCTCAACAACTGGAAAAAGAAATTTCTACAGATAAGGTAATACTATATGATATATTTGACTTATTTTAATCTACTTCTGGACCTCTTTCAAATATGACTTATATATGTATACATGTATATATATATATATATATATATATATATGCTTCCGCAAATTTACAGATCTAACATTATTGGGCTGTTCGTTTAGACGAATTATATATATACATATACTGGTATATATATAACACTGTTGGGTGTAATTTTCAGACTTATATAAATATTTGTATTAACCCTGTGTCTCAAACACACTGAGACCCAGTGGGCATATATATTGTATGGTTGTCACTTGCTTAGACTTGTTTGTATGATATACTTATTTCTAGTGACTGTATAATGAATTAATCATTATCCCATACGGTATATAAAAATTGTTGAGTTAGATTGCTGACAAATAACAAATACATTGTGTATTAAATAATAATATAACATCTTCACACGATTAAAACACATGTCTTATGTCTATCTCTAGATTCGCCTTACGTGACAAGGTAACACTACGACTATTAAAGTTATATTTTATATAGCGGATGTGGTCGTGTGGTCTAGAGCGCTGGACATGAGGCTAAGCGATTGGTGCTGTAGTGTATCAAAGGTGTGAGTTCGAATCCCGTTGAGGGACAAAAATTTGTCAGCATAAAAGTCTAATTCTAACACTGTTGGGTGTAATTTTCAGACTTATATATATATATATATATATATATAAAATTAAGAAGATGTGGTATGATTGCCAATGAGACACAACTCTGCAAGAGACCAAATTACACAGGAATTAACAACTATGGGTCACCCAACGGCCTTCAACAATGAGCAAAGCCTAAACTGCATAGTCAGCTATAAAAGGCCCCAAAATCACAAAACTTGTCCTAAAGGTACAGATAAAATATTAAAACAATTTGTAATTAGGGCTACATATACATGGAAAAGCATCATTTTCTGAATTGAATGAAAAGTAATTTACATTTACAATTAAAAATATAACTTCTCCAACAATTAAAAACATGAGAAGTCAAAAGAACAATCTTATATATATCCATCTATAAATCAAATTAAAAAAAAAATCAATAGAATTATATATATATATATATGTTGTGTACAAGATGTAATTTTGTACAAATTATAATTTGTACAGGGTTTTTGTACAATTTATAAGTTTTTTGACACATACCTTTTTGCACCAGGTGATAAAAGTTTATCTTCTAAAATGTATCAGTTTAATGTCTTCAATTCAAATTTATATACACCAACCTAAAATTTAGTGCTATTCTCTTTGTCCTCAAACTGGAAATAAGGACACCTGAATGGTTTACATTCTATTTTTATTTTTCTCCTTATACCAAAATCATATCCATGAAAAGTCTTTTTGTGTTCTTATAATGTTTTTTGTATCAATGCTCAGTATTAAACTGTATCATGTAGTCATGGAAATATGAAAGAAATATGCGAAACAAAAGACTGTGTGCTTGCATCATCCATTTGTGTTAAGCGGTTCATAAAACACTAATAACTTGTACAAAAATTCTGTACAAATTATAATTAATTTGTACAACATTACAATTTGTACACAACATATATATATGTTGTATACCAATTATAATTTGCACAGAATTTTGTACAAATTATTAGTGTTTCATTGAACTGCTTAATGCAAATGGATGATACAATCACAGTCTTTTGTTTCACATACTTCTGTCATATTTCCATGACTACATGATACAATCTAATAGTTATACTGAGCATTGTTACAAAAAAACATAAGAACACAGAAATACTTTTTATGGATATGATTTCAGTATACAGAGGAAAAAAATAGAATTTAAACCATTCAGGTGTTCTTATTTCCAGCTTTAGAACAAGGAGAACAGCACTAAATTTCAGGTTGAAGTATATAGATTTGAATTTAAAACATTAAGTTGATAAATTTTTGAAGATAAACTTTTATCACCTGGTGCAAAAAGGTATGTGTAAAAAAAAACCTGTACATCTTGTACACAACATATATATATATTTTATTTATATTGTGTTAAAACAGATCAATAAATTAATTTCAAAATGATTAATAAAATAAGTTAATCTTTTTTATGTTACGTCTTTTATAATTCTTTAAAATTTTAAATAAACAATATAAATTTTCAAATTATTCATAATTTGTTTACTACCTTATTGCGATGTCTAATTTTTATCAAATTTATGTAATTTAGGAGTTGGAGCTTGAGGTCAGTTTTGATGCAGGTTGGCAAAAACGTGGGACAGGATTCAATTACAATAGCTTAACAGGTAAACCTGCACTTTATAAATGTGCAATTTCTCGCTGCATTGAAGACCTGTTGGTGACCTTCTGCTGTTGTCTGTTCTATGGTCGGGTTGTTGTCTCTTTGACACATTCCCCATTTCCATTCTCAATTTTAAACATATTTATTTTAGTTGGTACAATTTTAATGGTGAATTTGCAACTATATTTTTGTCTAATAAGATCAAAACCTTAATAATCTAGCTATACATGCATGTACAACTACAGTACTATATAAATTACAATTAATTAATATACATACCAATCAGAATTGCATGTGATGTCTACATGTTCAATGTTTCACATAAGACTGTTACATGTATGAGAATCTCACTTAAATGTAAACAAGCTTAATAATTTAAGCCAAAGAACCTTTTTCTGATTGTTATAAACTCAATAGTGACAGATACACAAAATTTGAAGATTGATGAAAACTTCAGCCAATGTCAGTATAGATTGATTGATTGATTGTTGGTTGCTTTACGCCGCATTAGCACAACAGGGCTATATCGCGGCGATAGCTAATTCGAATATTTTTTACAATTTAAAGCATATTCTTAAAATCAGACAAAAGGTCCTTCAATAAACTAAAATTCTAGATTAAAGCAAATTGATTATTTACAAATAAAAATGAACATTAAGATAACGTGATAAAAATTTTAAATCGTTTTAAATATAATAACATTTTTATATTTTAGAATATATTCCAACTTCTTTTAAAAATGAAACAATATTTGTAAATGAAACATTATTAAATAAATCATACATATTATTGACATTGAAATGCTTCTTACGAATATCAGCAAAGTCAATACAATTGATTAAAACATGTTTAATAGTATACTTGCAGTTACAAGGTATACATTGTGGTTCTACTTCATTTTTTAAAAGATATTCGTGTGTTATTCTAGTATGACCAATACGACATCTAGAAATAACACACTGATCTTTTCTGCACATAAAATTATTGAAAGGTTTACATAAATTAGGTTTAATTTCATGTAATTTATTACCATCTATTTTACTCCATTCATTTTTCAATATATTAAAAACATATTCTCTAATATTAGATTTAAAATCGGTATATGGTATATCACAGTTAGATAAAGGGTCACCCAGGGCATTCTTTGCCTCAAGGTCTACAGCTGTGTTTCCAAGGATTCCAACATGACTCGGCACCCATAGAAATAATATTTCTTTAAGGAGAATTTTTAAATTCCTCATTACATATAAAATTTTGAGAATTGTTGGGTTTTTAATTTTAGTATTTTGTATAGCTTGTAAGCATGAAAGTGAATCAGAACATATAATAAATTTGGATTTATCTGAAGAAGCAATAAATTTCAAAGCCAAAATTATTGCTTCTGCTTCAGCAGTAAAGATCGATGCATCAGATGGCAAACGGAGAGTTGCAGCTCTGTCCCTGAAGACAGCAGCAGATGCAACTCTGTCACCATCTTTTGATCCATCAGTATAGACAGTTGAAAAATCTGAATAATTGGCTTTGATTTCAGCATAGTGTTGCTGAATTAAAAGAGGATTTGTTTTATTTTTATTGTGTTCACGGAGATCAAATATCATTATTGGTTTGGGAAGTTCCCATGGAGGACATTTGCAAGTTTCAACTTGAGCAACAGATTTTAAATCAAAAGAAGCTAAATGTGGTTTTAAACGTATACCTAACGGAGGAATTTTATTTTCATGTTTTGCAAAAATATCTTCATAAATTGGATTAAAAACACAGCTGTAGGCAGGATTATCTGAGTAGGCTTTTAGTTTGACAGCATATTGAAGTCCAAGCTTCAAACGTCTGTTAGAGAGTGAGTGCTCATCAGCCTCCACATACAGACTCTCAACTGGTGAGGTTTTAAATGCGCCAAGACAGAGACGCAAACCCTGATGATGCACAGCATCGAGAATCTGTATGTAGGACATGTCAGTATAGTATGAATAGCTGGTAAAACTAAAAATAATGTAATGAATGTAGACCTACTAACTTACATGCACCTGAATTCAAGTTAAGAATATATAATACCTATAACCAGATGTAATAAACAAATTTTTACAATTAATTCATGTTGACAAAAATTCTACAACAAGATCAGGGACTTTCTATACTATTTTAGATTTATTGAGTTTTAGGGTTTCTTGCTGACTGATCTAAGGGTCATCTAATCCTCAATAATTTTCTATTCACATTTCAAACAAATATTATGTCAATTGTGAACTAATAAAATGATCAGACTTTACAAGATATACATATGTGTAGGACTCTAAAGTGCGATGGGGACGCTAAAACGCGATGGTCACGCTAAAGTGCGATGGCCTACGCTTAAGTGCGATGGTTTGATGCGCTAAAGTGCGATGGTCTGTGCTAATCATTTGAACACGCTAAAGTGCGTTTTTCCGCAAAAGTATCGACGTTAGCAACGTTCGACAGCATTATGACGATATTGTTTGTCCAGATAAAGGATTTTTATTACACAAGAAAAGAAGGAAGAGAGAAACAAATGATCACAATCTGGAACTATTTTGGTCGTTGCTGGAAGAGGTTAACTTAATTTGTAAAATTGCAAAAAGAGCTTTAATCAAAACAGTTACTTTCTAATTGAATAATTCTATAAAAAAAATTACAATATGGTTTGTTATTTCTGTTAAATAATGAATATACTTCAACTAGACAGCAACCTGACGAACAGATGTGTAGTATCATTATAAAATATGATTGCCAATACGACAACTCTCTATCCACGACCTAATGTCATTGATGTATGCAACTTTAGGTATGATCTTTAACGCGGAGCATTGTCTTACACAACATATTATTTTTGATTAAAAGACGACTTCTACTAAATTCCAGATGTACTAACTATACTGCAGTTTAACCATTACACTTTTTGGACAACTATCGTACTTTAAATAAAAATAAGAAGATGTAGTATAAACTATCAATCCAACCCCAAATTTCGTTCATGTATGCAACTAATAATCATACGGCCGTCAACGTAAAGCCTTGGCTCATGCCGCATAACAAGCTATATAGGGTTATAAAATGACCAGTGTAAAACAATTCAAAAGAGAAAGACTACGGCTTGATATATAAATAAAACAATAAACGAAAATGTAATAGGAACTCAGCAACAAACGAAAACCATTGCCTGAACCACATTCCCGTTACACCATCGGACTTTAGCGTGTCATACCATCGCTCTTTAGCGTGATATCTGATCGCACTTAAAAAAAAAAAAACATCGCACTTTAGCGTAGACCATCGTACTTTAGCGTGACCATCGCACTTTAGAGTACCATCGCACTTTAGAGTCCTACATATGTATGCATACAAACAAACTATATTTTTGTATATGGAATTGTAATATTTTCTTTTTCAACCAAAATTTGTAATTTCATATTGAATTTCAGGACATGCTTCAATGATAGGAAAACAAACAGGGAAAGTGACCTGCTATGATATAAGAAGCAAAAGCTGTAAATTTTGTGAGCATCATGAGGGAAAGAATGAAACAGTTCCAAGTCATGACTGTTGTAAAAATTGGTATGGGTCTAGTAAGTCTATGGAACCAGATATGGCTGTTTCCATGGCACATAAGATGACTGATAATGAATGCCCAATTGACGTCATTCATGCTGACAATGATTCAACTACCATGTTGAAACTGAAAATGGACTTTGAAAACTTGAAAAAAAAGGATGACCAAAATCACACTACAAAAGGAATAACAAAATCACTGATTGAATTGTCTAAAAGGTAATAAAAGTTATGTTTTCAGCCCGATCAGGTTAAGGCAAGACAGTCTCTCTTGTGCTCAAAGTTGAAGAAACGACTGATATCTAGTCCTGTCGTGTAGTTGGTCTTTCCAATAATTCAGAATTCACCTCCGCGTTCAGTGAAGAAACAGTTTGTTGGAAAGACTGCATTGTTGCAGAAAGCCTGCAAAACAAGGTAATTGGTAATTGAATTTCCTAACGATTATGTGCAATGCATATTATGTTGAAGTGGAATTAAAAACCACGTGTTCCTCTGCGTTATTAACTGATGCATTGTGGGATCGCGCACCACCATATATGGTTGTAGCTTGATCTGTATCTGCTATATATCGGAATTTTGACCTATATTTCGGTTACATTGTCATTATTGATAGTAGAGTCTTAAGTACTATTCAGAATTCTCACTTAAATAGTTGGCATTTTAAGGTATTTTTATTCCTAATCTACTAGCTTCTTGACGAAGTCCTCATTTCCCCGTGGTAGTCTAAATTTCTCCGACCTTAATCCCGGACGCCTCTATTACAGAACCTACCTATTGTATTTATTGTGAATTTGTTCTCGTCCTGAATATGCATGAAATATTTGCCACTGGACGTTAAGCAACCTACACTCAATCAATCAATCTTGACGAAGTCAATTTCTATCTGTTGATATCTTGGGTGAATTCTTCCATGAAAAAGTCCTTTTGACATGAATTTGGATGATTGAACTAAAATGGTGTTATTCCTTCTAATGCCCATACGAAAGTTGACAATGGCTTGGCTGTAACGGGAAACCATTTCAAACATATATATATATATAGTTTGGATTGTGTTCCATACTTTTTACAAACTGTAGAAAACCAGAGGCGGTAGGACTTTCTGTAATAGTATTTTAATAAGTCTCAATTAAACATTTCCTCATATAAGGTAAAATAAGCTCTTGCAGTGTGCCTAAATGAAATGTTAAGATAAGCTGCCATGTGTAATGATTGTCATAGCACATCTTGGCTGCTTCCATGGCTGCTTTAGAGGTCCAGCCCATTCGGTTAACTAGTATTCTCATGAAAACATCCCAATTCAATTCAACAAAAGATTTCATCAAGTTCATTTCATAATGTCCATCTCCTGTTTTCAACAAAATCCAATTAAATTATCTTACAAATTTAACCTCTTGGACATCAGGATGTTCCTTCTTGTGGGAATTAAATGTTTCTTTACCTAAAAAGCCTTTATTGCAAATGATACATGTGAAGTATTCTTCAATCATTCTGCACACCATTGTGTAAGGTAAGCCATCACAACAAACGATGACCCAATCTCTTTCTTCTCCACCATATCGATTTATGCCAGCAGTTTTCCCTAGATGTCTAAGAACTAACTTTAGGTTATCAATTGAATTTGGATTTACAAAGACTGGATCCATTACAAATACTGGTATTTCACTTGCTTTGTGAAAATGTTCTACGTGACCAAAACGAAAGGAATCTATATGGTCTTCATCAGCCTTGTTTTTATCTTTCTTTTTGGATAATGGAGTTATTTCAACTTTCTTCCACCCCAAGGGTGAATGGGGAATAGAAATATGGTCACTACAGGTCTTCTTCCGACCGGCAGTAAAACCCACAGAGGGGCAGCCTGTCAGAGATGCAACTTGATGTTAAAATATCCAAATTTCATTCCAGACTATTTCCATAATTTGCGGAACTTTGATGCACACCTTTTGCCGTCGGAAGCTAGTAAATTCAAAGACAAAACATTATCATGTATACCAAACAATATGGAGAAATATGTGTCCTTTTCTGTCGGACATCTGAGGTTTTTAGACACATACTAGTGCATGAGTAGCTCTTTGGAGACTTTAATTGCTAATTAATCTGCAGATGGTTTTATAAATTTCAAACAATTTCGTAAGGCTTTCCCCAATGACGAACACGCTAAACTTTTGCTACGGAAAAACGAATACTGTTATGATTATGTGAATTGTTCTGAAAGATTTAAAAGAGACAGCTCTCCCTTCGAAAGAAGCTTTATTTAATTCAGTGACGAAAGAAGCTATTTCTGGCCCGAGAACACAGTTATTTCGTAGTGCATTTCTTTTAGACAATAAATTCAAATTAAAAAAATCGCACCTGCTCTATCTCAAAAAGATTTTTACAGTGTAGTGTTCTACTATTGATACAAATAATATCAAAATTATAGAAACTTCTACCAGCTCTAACTCAAAATATTGACACGTCTGTGTTAAGGGGGGCTAAAATTCAGTTTGACAGCTTCAGACATTCGAATTTTTGACCTTTTTAAACAGGACCAAATCACTACTTAACATAAAGATTCAGCACCCAAATTTTTTAAACAGGTAATTTCATCCCCTTATTTAATTGATTGATTGATTGTTGGTTGCTTAACGTCCAGTGGCAAATATTTCATGCATATTCAGGACGAGAACAAGTTCACAATAAATACAATAGGTAGGTTCTGTAATAGATTAAGGGATTAAGGTCGGAGAAATTTAGACTGCCACGGGAAATGAGGGTATATTGGATAGGGACAGAAATTTAGCCTTGCAACAGGTCACCTACGGACCCCTCAAAGAGTTGTTGCAAGGGTTCTTAACGTGCAAAGAGCGTGGCACTCTCTTTACACGAGGCATCGGATTTAACGTCCCCATTCTGACCGGACGTGGCTGCAAATTTGTACATCCCGCACAGCCAAACGGACGCCCCACTTAAGCACGGGTTTTACTGCCGGTCGGAGGAAGACCAATGGTGACCATACTTCTATTCCCCAGTCACCCTTGGGGGTCCCCTTATTTAATATTTTATGCATAAAATATCAAGAAATAAATTGGGAAAGTGTATCAAAAAAAAATGCAAGTTATACACTGTTCACACTAGGGACTATATTCGTGTCCTTGGACCTAATAGGATAGAAAGACTTGACCAATTTTTATAAAACTTTGCACGACTTAAGTTTATGAAATTATAAGATAGTTGGCCAAGTTTCATGGCCATAGGATATATATTATAGAAACTAGGGTAATTTTAATATTGAAATTTGGATGTTTATTTTTGACGTTTAAATCAAATATTTTCAACTGTCAAGATTTTGGCCTAAAAAATTTAAATATTGCAAAAATTTGCTTTTTAAATACTCTTGAATATAAGATAATAAGTATTAAAAGCAACGGAACACTCATTTGATTTATCAGATTTATCACAGTTATTCAAAAGTCAAATTTATATGAGCCTGTGCCTGAAAATAGAGATTTTCGAATTAAGGGAAGCCTTACATAAACATGCATTTTTTTCAACTAATTTGAAGGTTTTGAAGTTTTTTAACCATACATTATTCTTCCATATATATTAAATGTACTTTAAATGTAAAGAAAAGTTACAAAAAAGCATACAATATGAGTATAAAATGGTCTTCGGCCATGTAAGACTGAGAATTATTTAGAGTCGATTTAGGCCTTAGCCCATATTTACATATAAAAATGCACACAGAGGCTATACGAATTGGAAATTTGTTACTTTTTGCTCAATTCTATGCGAAGATGTTATGATACAAGAAGTCTAATTGCAAAAGGACTCTTGAATTCAACTTTTTTTTTGCAGACAGTATAGTCTGATGACCAGTTTTTCACTTTTCAATGGAAAACTTGCATGTAGTTTTAGTCTCAATTGGCATATATTTACTATCCTAAAGAAGAAAATTATGGTAGCATATGAAATGAATAGGTTGTACTGATCATTGTAAAGTGTTTTTTTTTACAGATTTAGTGAAATATTTGTGATGGACTACAGATTTTATGTACAAAGCTCTTCACATTTCACATACATCAAACAGATTCAGCAGGTAATTTCATCCCCTTATTTAATATTTCATGCATAAAATATCAAGAAATAAATTGGGAAAGTGTATAAAAAAAAAATGCAAGTTATACACTGTTCACACTAGGGACTATATTCGTAGACAACGAAAACCAAAGGACGATAACTGTGTCCTTGGACCTGATGAAAAAATATGAACACGCTCAAAAGGTTTGGAACACTTTCAATATGAAAACCTTAGGGGATTTTCACAATTCGTAAGTATTAACAGATACGTTACTCTTAGCGGATGTTTTCGAACGATTCCGTGACATGACTCTTGAATATTACAAGTTGGATGCTAGCCATTTTTTCACGAGTCCAGGTTTAGCAGGGCAAGCGGCATTAAAAATGAGTGGTGTCAGCTTGGATTAAATTACTGATCCCCTCATGTAAAACATGATAGAGCTTGGAACACGAGGTGGGGTTAGTATGGTTACCAAAAAATACAGTCGAGCTAATCATCAATATGTTGACGACTTAAATGAAAGAGATGTGAAAAAACACATCATTTACCTAGATGCCAACAATTTGTACGGTTGGGCAATGTCTCAACCATTACCGTATGTTTTTTTCAATTTTTTGAATGAAGATGAAGTTGACGATTTTGATTTACATAAAGTCGAGTCAGACGCAAAAGAAGACTACATTTTAGAAGTAGAGTTAGAATATCCTGTACATCTCCATGACAATCATAACAATTATCCCCTTGTACCCGAACATCTACTCATTGATTGATTGATTGTTGGTTGCTTAACGTCCAGTGGCAAATATTTCATGCATATTCAGGACGAGAACAAATTAACAATAAATACAATAGGTAGGTTCTGTAATAGATTGAGGGATAATGGTCGGAGAAATTTAGACTGCCACGGGAAATGAGGGTATATTGGATAGGGACAGAAATTTAGCCTTGCAACAGGTCACCTACGGACCCCTCAAAGAGTTGTTGCAAGGGTTCTTAACGTGCAAAGAGCGTGACACTCTCTTTACACGAGGCATCGGATTTAACGTCCCCATTCTGACCGGACGTGGCTGCATATTTGTACATCCCGCACAGCCACACGGACGCCCCACTTTAGCACGGGTTTTACTGCCGGTCGGAGGAAGACCAATGGTGACCATAGTTCTATT